CGGGGTCGGTCCGTCCTTGGGGGGAATGTTGGGGGTCCCAGGGGGAGTGGCACGAGGGGGGGTTAGGGTCTCTGATCAGGGGTCTCTCACCCTGGGGGTCTCTAACCCGGGGGTCTCTAACTGGGGGTCTCTGCCCCGGGGGTCTCTGACCAGGGGTCTCTAACCGGGGGTCTCTAACCGGGGGTCTCGCAGGGCGGGTACAACCTGGCGGTGACAGCGGAGGGGGTGGGGCAGTGCCTGGGGGTCCTGCTCGGGGACCCCCCCACGCTGCCCCCCCCCGGGACCCCCCAGCCCGCGGCGCTGCGGGCGCTGGGCCGGACCCTGCGAGCCCAGCGGGGCTGCTGGAGCTGCCTACGCCTGCCCTGCGGTGAGACCCCTCCCCACAATGGCCCCAGGACCCCAGACCCTGCCCTGGGAGCACCCGGGACCCCCAAACTCTGCCCCGGGACCCCTGGGACCCCCAAACCCTGTCCTGGGGTCCCTGGGACCCCAAACCATGCCACGGGACCCCCAGGGCTCCCCCGAGCCCCCCAACCATCAGCCCTGAACTCCCCAAACCCCACCTGGGCCCCCCATACTGCATCCCCCAACCGACCCCTCCCTCCCTTTCCCCACCCCAGTTGAGCCCCCCCCGGAGACCCCCAAGGAGGGGGAGGGCAGCGATGACGTCACATCCGCCGCCGATGACGTCACGGGGTCTCCCCCCCTGGACGCCGCCATTCGCCGCTTGGGGGCGCTGCAGCTCGGGGACGCCCCGGGGGGCTGGGCCAAGGCGGGGCTGGGGGCGGACCCCTAAAGCACCCCCTGCACCCCAAAACAGCCCCAGAAACTCCCCCAGAAACAGCCCCTGTACCCCAAAAACACCTCCTGTACCCCAAAAACGTCCCCTGCACCCCAAACCCCCACTACACCTCTAATTGTTCCCCAAGTCACCCCTCACACCCCAAACCGTCTGTGCTGCACCCCACAACTGCCCCTGCACCCCCAAATCCCCCCTGCACCCCAAAAATAACTACCTGCACCCCCATAACCACCCCCTTACTCCTAAATCCCCCGTGTCCCTAAA